TTATTTTAAACCGTAAACTATCAATAACTACAAGGAATTAGAATTAATACATAATAATACTCACTCTTAAATAAATATTAATTGTTGTTAAATAAACATTTACTGTAATACACTTACTGTATATACATTATACTATAGTATATAAGATGCCGGTCACTAACAGCTGACAGTAATACCGATATGCGCATGCGCGCCTTTCTATTCTCATAGCCTATCGCTTCGCGAGACGGCAAGTTGTAAAACGTGTCGTTTTATGGCCTTGAGATTTTACTCTCATCGAACCCAAAGAAGTTTCACTTCAAAAACAGTGCCCTTTTCAGACTTGCAGGCAATGTAAATGTAAATTACATATATTTGTTTTGTTTATTTTTTTCGCCTTATTATTAGCACTTATTAAGCAATTAAAACAAAAAATATAGTACTTGGATGCTCTGAACATATTGAATTAAACAGGCAGTAGCCCTTATTCGACTTGCATTGTAAATATTGATATGCATTTATATTTTTTCTCTTTTTTTAGTCGAATAACTAGCACTCATTAAGCACTAATTAGACTGATCCATGATTAGCTTCGCCTGTCAATTCTTTGTATGTTTTTGGTAATGCTAGTTTTAAATAAAGCTTTATATCATTGTAGCTTTTTAAGCTCCTAAAAGAGCGTCAAATTTCTAACTTTGACAATAAATAAGCACTCAATGAGCACTAAATTTTCAGCAAACAGTTATTCAATTTTGCTCACATTACAATGCCAGCTTTATATCCTTCATATTTTAAAATTATTACAAGTGGTTAAAATTAAAATTGCCCATTCCTAGGTTCGCTTGTTGCCATTTTTACTACAGTAAGTACTATATAGTAGTAGATATTTAACCATTAACTACTCGCTTTTTCATACTCAACTTGTATTTTCATATTTTCTTTTTGTCGTTTCATAATTTTTGAAAACCTCTATAATTCAAAGCGCATTAACGTAAAAGCCTTTACCATTTGACTATTCTTCTTCAAAGCACATTGTTCGGTGTCGATGTGTTTCGTTATTTGTGTGTTTATTTGTACATTTTTTATCGTAGTCGTAGTTTGTATTTATTTTGTATATATGCATATCTGTATGTTATGATTTCTGTTGCAAATATTTAACATCAAATTGTGCTTACACACAACTTTGGGGCCTCTTTATGACACCCTTCAGGTATGTATCCAACGTTGGGAAAGTCCAATTGACTAACTCATCACGTCGGGCTTTCTCTGGGTACCCGAAGGGTGCATAACAACAACCAAAACGTTAACCAAGAGGTCCATTTTACGTTAGGGGCATTTCCTATTTTTGTACAGACTATTTAAGTCCTAAACAACAAAATTTAGAAGTTCAGCTCAGTATTCCAATTCAACTATACCAATTTAATGCAAATTTTATTCAATGTCGAAAATTCATAGTCCAGGATCCCTGGTACATTTTTGCACTTGATTACTATCAAGCTAATTTTCCGTGAGTAGCTTTATTTTGATGAGACGCCTAACAACTTCTTGTAAGAAACTTTGATTGTGGTAGCTAACAGAGACAGCAAGGATAAAATATGTCGGTTTGATGATACTCAAAAATTTATTACTAACTGGGGTTTTTTTTTGTTTAATCTCAAGATAATTATCTAAATTATTCGAAAAAATATTTGCCCTACAAAATCTATGGTCTGATAAAAGAGTCCCCTCTTTCCAACATGTACCGATAACGAGGTCATCATAAATGATTACTAACCACATGATTTTTTTTTTTACTTAGTTAATATTTATATACGATCTCCCAGTCCTTCGCTCAGAAATTGTTAATACCACAAGACCATTTTTCTCATTACTAACTGTAGGACAAAAATATTACATAACAGGTTAGTGTGTTCTCTGCCCAAATGAAACAATGTCCTACAAGAAAACAGGTATGTATCACTAGTCCGACAAAAATAATCATTTTTTCGTTTGCTTATTTGTAACATAAGATACAGTGGAAAAATCTGCGTATGCATACCAGTGTGACTAAGCTGTTGCAGCAAAATACAGAAACCCAAGCAGCACAATTTTTTTTTTGTGATTTTTTTTAAATTATTATTTATTTAGTGTCGCTCAAACAATTTGTTAATATTTTGTAGAATTTAAGTTGACGATTATTAATTTTTTAACTTCTTGTTGAGTGAAATAAATTATTTTTTAATTTCATGAATTTCAAATATATATTCAATGGTAGGACTGGAAGAACGTACCACGCAATTTGTAGGACAATGTGACTATTAAATTATATAAATATTAACTAAGTAAAAAAAAATCAGCTGGTTAGTAATCATTTATGATGACCTCGTTATCGGTACATGTTGGAAAGAGGGGACTCTTTGATCAAACCATAGATTTTGAAGGACAATTATTTTTTCGAATAATTTAGATAACTATCTTGAGATTAAACAAAAAAAAACCGCAGTTAGTAATAAATTTTTGAGAATCATCAAGCCGGCATATTTTATCCTTGCTACCTCTGTTAGCTACCACAATCAAAGTTTCTTACAAGAAGTTGTTGGGCGTCTCATCAAAATAAAGCTACTCACGGAAAATTAGCTTGATAGTAATCATGTACCAGGGATCCCGGAATATCATTCAATGGAAGTAAATACCAAGTATTTTTTCAATTCAATTTAGATCAAGTTACTTTTTTTTGTGTATCTGTGTACAGTACAAACCATCTTTTAATATCGAAGTGTGCAACCAAAAGAACCTTCTTCGGTGGGATACCGTCACATTCAACACCATCAACAATTATCAAATCAAACACACATAGTATACTATTATACCAGCAATATTTAAATGTGTATTTTTTTGCGTGCACAATACGGCAGAGGGAGGTTACGGGAGCAAAAAATTGATCTAGTCTCAGAGTGTTGCCTTTTCCTACCGTAACCTCCGTCAGAAACTAAATTAGTAAAAATAAATAAATTAAAAAAAAAGAACTAAACACTGTCATAAAGACTATTTTTTTCTAAAATACATCTACTCACAAATGGAATAAACTGAGAATATCTGTTAATGCTAGTTTTACCTAGTAAAAACTAACTTGACTAAAGCGGAAAATTAAAAATAATTTTTTAACTGAAATCGGGTATTTACGGTAACATAAACTTGATTGACAGTTGAAATGAAAACGTCACATTGTAACACGTTAGAACATACAATGTGATCATTGTAAAAATATTTCAGAACAAAAAGACTTCGTAAGAGATTTCAAAGTTGATTGGATTATATGAGCTATCATGGCATTCTCAAATAGTAACAAATTATTGACAGGGAATACTTAAAATTATTTATAGGAAGGAATTAATCCTGCTACGGGTTAAAAAGGTCGATGCAGAAATAAAACCTGGCCAAATAATACACTAAAACCTAACCTAACCTAACCTGACCAAATAATACACTAAATCCCAAAAACAAACGCGTATCGACACGTCAGGCTTTAACTGAGAATTACATCTTGGTAAGAATTGCCTTTATGATCTTTCTTCATGTATCATGGTTCATTTACATTCCTAAGAGTAACTTTAAGAAAAAAGTAAAAAAATTTCTTAATATTTAGATTTACACGTTTACAAGTCAGTCAAAAACATCTCGTTTTTAAAAATTAAAAAAAAAATTGAGCAACCTCTATAAATTGATACAACGACTTGTTTTCCGAATATTTACAATTACGAAAGTAAACAAATATGACGAAGAAAAAAATTAACGAAAAAGAGAAACAACATAAAAGCGATGACAAATATTTTTGATTGGACTTACTTTTGATGAGCATTATTTAAACATACTAAATTAATATACTTACATATATTTTCATGCCAGATAAAAAATAAAAAATGATACTTTTTTTAAGCGCCCCTAACATACCTACATGTATAATTTTCAACGAGGTCACTATTTATACTTCTCATAGAAAAAACCGAGCACATAAAAAATAGTACTTTCAAAAGGCATTTTCTTTTTTTTTGCATTCAAAATATCATACTTCAATAAGCATTGAATCCTTTAATTAATAAACTGGTAATTCTCATTGTATCTTAATAATATCTTAAGCATTTCAATTATAATTAGTGTAATAAAATTTATCATTTGATATAAGTAAACAATTTTATCTTACCAGGTGTTCAGCAAAGTAATGTCTTATCTCCATATAGTACAAGCAGTTGTTTCTGAAACAAACAGCAGAAAATAGATATGAATATTCGTGAAGAAAAACGTTTTCCTTGAATTTGTAAAATATTAACTAGAATTCATATTTATCTATCTAAATCTTCAACTTTATCTTTTCCTCTTAAGTAACAAATGAAAAATATACGTAAGCACCTGAATAAGTATAAAATACTTAAATATAGTAACTAGCCAACTTTACATTACAGATATTATATACAAACAGTAATGCGCATTTCTTTTCTATCGATAAATAATAACTTCATTAAGTAATAACAAGAATCGACACAAGTGTTTACACTCTCCTTTTCTACGGCGTATCCAAAGCCAAATGATTTGTAACTGACCTATTGCCACTTAATATAGAGATAAAGCAGAAACGATAGTGATAATCAAAATATAACGTACGTTACGTATGTGACTATTCAACATTGAGGACAATGTAGCGTTACTCGTGCAGTTTAGGAGGGTAGCTTTAGGCATTACCCTCCATAGGAAGTTAAAGTGGGGACCTAATCCCGCCGCTGTGATTGTCTAATAACTACTAATTGTTTTTAACAGACGTGTTTTTGCAATAACAAAAAATTAAAATAATAATAACTGAAAATTTTTTCGAGAAATAGTAATGTTCAAATTCAATTGTATATTCTTTTATTATTATTTATTCGACATTATAAAAATAAGTATTTAAAATTTCAGGATTGTTTATATGAACGCAATAATTGTATTAACCCATTTTACTTATCCTACAATTAATAAAATGGAGAGTTGGATGCGCGCGTCCCCATTTAAAAATAAAATATTTATGTAAATTTAAGGATAATTCACTTTACGTAGCAGCCAGCTCAATTTTGGTCAATATTTACGCTAACCGTAACGTCACTAGTGAGATTCGTGACGCTTGTAAAGGTAAGTGCACTTACACTGGAATTGGTCAGATGGCACATCACGGAAAAATATAAAATATACGCAATCATATAATACAACGCACATTCATGCGGACGGAACAATCCGTCATGACTCCGACAATCAGAATTAAAATCCGTCCGCTTCGTACGTACCGTACGTACCCATGCCGATGATGTGCGATACCTGCCGGAATTATTCCGATAGGTTTCGCACATATTACGTATATGTATGTAATCGGACAGCGTCATTATCAGGAACTCTGTTCTACACTAACTAAATTCGGACTGTTTTCGTATTTTATATTGTTAGTCGTTCCCACTCGCTTACATTTAATTAGGGTTTCCATGTTTTTTAGATGTTCCATATATGTAGATATCTTTAAAATATATTACAGAGTATTTTTAAACTTTCAAAAAAAAAATGCCAATTCCAATTAAATTTGTGACTTTTGTGCATTATGCACTGATATTTTATTATTTAAGAAATTTATATAAGAAGTGGACCAAACCAAGTCCATATATATATACATAAATTAATAATTAATTTGTTACTATTAATTTCAGACAACCTCATTTTCTTTCTTATCTCCATTTTTACTTCATAAAAAAATATATATTTGTGGTAAATCACAATCACGTTTATATTGTTTGCAATTTTTCCATTAGTACTTTTAAACGATCGACACTAATTAATAATAAGATAAATTCCGGAAATTGATTCCGACGTACAGTGCGTTGAGACAAAATAAAATTCCGTTCGTCCGTTCCGAGATAAATACATACTATTGATGAGTGAACAGATAGTTTACTGGCTAGGTGCTTCCATGAAAATAGGGCAACTTTATGATGTGATTAGTCTTTACTATTTTTTACATACTGTACAATTTTAAATTAGTGTGATTTATAGCCGATACATAGAATAATTCATGTTTAAAAAAGTCAATCACTTTGTTTAGTATTTTAAGATAAATTCAGGATTTTGTAAATTTAGACGTCTAGAGATTGACACATATAGCTAGAGAGTAATATAATATTTTTTAAGGAATTAATGTAATAAAATAAGACTCACACACAGGCGTAGCTTCACTTTTATTAGGAACATATTTTAGACAGTATTATTATTAATTTAACTTAGAAAATGTTACTTTACAATACAATCAAGTGTAGCTTCAGCTAAAATTCTTTAAGATAAGGTAAAAAATAAAACAAACGAGACACATTGCTCTATGAGGTAATAATTAACAAAAAAGGCTCCTTGCCTATAAAATAATCAATCTCAATCAATCAATCAAGCGCGGGTCTAACGGATTACGGACTGACGATTCAGAAGAAAACCTACGAATAATCTGTTCGGTTATATATACCACAATACCTACGGTCATTTAATGAACAGGGCTTACAAAACAATACTAAATCGTTGAGAATTAAAAACAATTGCGTAGGTACTATTTAATATAAAAATTGCTTACCGAGGGACTGACAAAGTCACTGGAACAAAGCGTGCTCGCACATCTCACGCCGCAGTTGCACTGAATTACAAAATGGCCGACGCAAGGCGAACGGCATTTGCAGATAACTTCATGTCTATACTTTAAAATCAACTGATTCTCATTCCCTCATTCGCGATAAACGTCGCGTAATTTCAAAATTCCTAAGCGGCTAGGGCCTGATGGTTAAAGTCGCGGACACATTATTAGGCAAATAATCATATTTTTAACTGTCTTAAATAAGATAAAAGTGTACAAAAGGAATGTTTTTTAGATATTGGCGCCCGAAGGCAAAATTTTGGTAGGCGGACACGGCTAGGGCCTGATATTTGTGATAGTTAAGAAAGTTTTCTAAAGTATAATTCTAGATTATTTCAAATATCTTAAGGGCAATAAATAAAACATATATTAAGCAGTTACCTATTAATTAAAAAGTAAAATTAATTTAATTTAATGCAGTAAAAAATGCCTGTGAGTTGCCTATTTTCATGGAAGCATCCGGCTACAAGTACGCATAAAAATAGTATACTTTGATTCAAAAGAACTTGCCATGATTGCAACATTACACACTTAGTTTTTTGTGGTTCACATTGCACAGGTATACTGTTGAACATTGTCATATAAAATGAATACACCAATATAAAACATGATAATTAAGTAAATGTTTGTATGTCTGAAAGTTCACCGTTTTCGAAAAAAACGCAGTTGAAGGTACAAGTAAATTCAATTCCGGCCCTGATATTGCAGTACGACAACGCAACGTTGCATTCAATAAGGTAGGAATTAGCAGCATCAATGTTGTATTTATTTTGTACTTTTTTTTGCTCATTTGATTAGATTAAGTATGATTCACGATGTCACTGTCTGCCTGCATAAGTTATTTGTCCTTTTAACGTTGTCAATCACTCATTTGTACTGAGGTGAGTGTGTCACTCACACAATGGTACGGTAGACCTTTGTGATGCGATCCTGATAAACGGCGAATGTGAATACAGTATTAATGTAACAATCGAATTATACAGTTATAATAATTAAAAAAAAAACATGGCTTCCTGACACAAAATACAACAAAAAAGTGTTTTTTCAATCCAGTGACAATTGAGCTCGCAAATCGTCTTTGTAAATTTGAACGTACAAATTGTTTCATTACGGGCCTGGATCTAGGCGACTAACGTCGCTCAGCTGATCTAGTGCGGATGTAACAAGTACCTACCGGGAAGAAGCCGAATGCACTTCCACTTTGTAAAAAAAAGGTAAAAGTGAAAAAGGAATGCGTACCTTTTATAAAAAAATGTTTATATTGTCCGCCATTCGCTTCAATGCAACACTGACAGCGGCGTACACAGTTGGTGCTAATTTTGCTAATTTTGCGAAGGGTGTGCGCACTTTCATGAACTGTTAATGTAAATGTGTAGTGTGAAATTTTTGCAATTTATTTCCTTTTTGGTAATTTTACTTCCAATGACCCGCAAAAAGATAACGCACCCTGACTAATACTTCAATGATGGTTTGGAAATTTACCTTAATAAAAATAAAATTATCCAAATGATGCTCGTTTGCAGACTAATGTTCACGTAACTTACATTTTTTGTTCTTTTGTGTTGGTACATTTAGGTAGTACCTGCCTATAACGTACTTATTTAATTTATTTAGTCTAAATATTATGTGTAGTACTAAATTGTTTGTTTATCTTAGACGTTCGATAATCGGCAATGTTTACAATCTCGATCCATGTAGCATGTAGCTGCAGTTTTTATCCCACTACGCTATCGGCAGACTCTTACATATGTTGCCAATTCACGCACAGAACCGGCTTCGGATTGTAAATTACTGTGATTTAAATATGAAAATTACATTGTTACCATTCGAAATAGAGATGTATTCACAATGTTTAATTCTAGGAATCAATTAAAATATTTTTAACACTAGGTATTATATGCACCCATTCATCTTAATTGCTTTGTTTTAGCATGAATAATCCAATAGCACATACCTATTAATAACTTAATAACCTGCAGCTGTTCTTTATCATAAAAAGACAAATTTAGCCTCCTTCAATCAGTTTATTTAGATTAGAATTATGTGTTCTGTAAAAGCACAGAAGCGTGTTACAATATGGATATCGAAACCATTAAATAGATAAACCTTCTTTCTTTAAATCTCGAAAACTATTCGAAAGAATGATTCAACAAAAGTGTGGCCCTTAGGGGTCATCCATAAATTACGTCACACGAATTTCATAATTTTTTGACCCCTCCCCCGTCCTTGTCACAGCTGGTCACATTTGTGAGACTCCCCTCCTTCCTAGTGTGACGTCACATATTTTGCAATTTTTACATCTAAAAATTATTGAATTAAAACAGCAGTTCCGAAATTAGTTTTATTTCTATTTAAATTATTTAATAAAATTAACATTTCAAGAAATTAACAAAAACAACGATTGCTATACTACACTAGTAGAGCGAGTGGCGGACAAAACAATTTGAATCTTACGTTTGTTCAGATAGAGTTGCTNTAGAAATTATTGAATTAAAACAGCAGTTCCGAAATTAGTTTTATTTCTATTTAAATTATTTAATAAAATTAACATTTCAAGAAATTAACAAA